TAGATGGTACAGTCACACAGGCCAAGGCTCTCTCTACAGAGCTGTATTCACTCCACCATAGATGGTACAGTCACACAGGCCAAGGCTCTCTACAGAGCTGTATTCACTCCACCATAGATGGTACAGTCACACATCTCTACAGAGCTGTATTCACTCCACCATAGATGGTACAGTCACACAGGCCAAGGCTCTCTCTACAGAGCTGTATTCACTCCACCATAGATGGTACAGTCACACAGGCCAAGGCTCTCTCTACAGAGCTGTATTCACTCCACCATAGATGGTACAGTCACACAGGCCAAGGCTCTCTCTACAGAGCTGTATTCACTCCACCATAGATGGTACAGTCACACAGGCCAAGGCTCTCCAAGAACTGTATTCACTCCACCATAGATGGTACAGTCACACAGGCCAAGGCTCTCTACAGAACTGTATTCACTCCACCATAGATGGTACAGTCACACAGGCCAAGGCTCTCTCTACAGAACTGTATTCACTCCACCATAGATGGTACAGTCACACAGGCCAAGGCTCTCTCTACAGAGCTGTATTCACTCCACTCCACCATAGATGAAAGGGGTACATTTATCACACAGGCCAGCATGGCATCTTCCTCTCTACAGATGACCTGTATTCACTATATTTTGCATAAAATAATGCAGTTTCAACATCAAATTAATCAAAAATATGCCATATCTAACATAGCTTCTTGTAATCCCCAATGTAGGACATCACAGTACGGTGTCAAAGCACGACGTTTCAGAGTGTATACATGCTGAAGGATGAAGGAGCAAGCATACACTCCGACACGTTGTGTTATACAGAAGTTGACATCCATAAATCTGTTTTTTGTTATGCATTCTACTTCTTAATACCCATACAACATACAACGTGAACTGGTGTTGTATTGGACTGAATTGAACTGGTCACATAAGCCAAATATACACCATGCCACTTTCTCCTTATGTCAGACCAACTTTTATCTCCAGTGTTCAACAGGTTAAAATGAAAGAATTGTTGATTTCATTGATTTGTCTTGACATGACAGTTTGAAAAGAAAAGTTTATCGATGTCAGACGTAGAACTGTGCCATACAGACGTGCACCTACAGACTTAGAACAAGTGAGTGAGTGAGTGAGTTTAGTTTCACACTGCACTTAGCAATATTCCAGCTATATGGCGGCGGTCTGTAAAATAATCGAGTCTGGACCAGGCAATCTAGTGATCAACAGCATAAGCATTGATCTATGCAATTGGGATACGATAACATGCGTCAACCAAGCCAGCGAGCCTGACCAGCCGGTGCCATTAGTCAGCCTCTTACAACAAACATGGGTTACTGAAGATCAATTCTAACCCGGATCTTCACAGGTCAGACGTAGAACTGTGCCCTACAGACGTAGAATTGTGCTCAACAGACATGCACCTACAGGTGTAGAATGGTGCCCAACAGACGTAGAATTGTGCCCTACAGATACGCACCTACAGATTTAGAACTGTGCAGCTACAGACGTAGAACCATGCACCGTCAGACATAGATGTAGATCCACAATGTGTAATAACTTGGATCCATCACGTGTTATAACAGTGATCTCTGGAGTGAAATAACTGGGATCGTCATTGTGAAATAGTTGGTACATACAAGTGTTAACACACATCGATATGTATCGTATCAAAATAAAATAACAGTGTCATAAAATCCCTTTCCTGAAACAACATAAAATATCGTCAATGATATAAACAAACTCCATGTAACATACATTGAACAGTGTTGTTCAAGGTCAGCTTGAAGCGGAAACATATATGGCAGCAGAGACCCGCAGAATAGTGTTCACAGCTTGCACCCACATGGGCAATCAAACACATCTGTGAGAGAACACGTCAAACACTGGTGGCTTGCTATCCCTTGTGTAGGGAGGGTTATAGTTGGGCATCAGACATCTGCTCACCTCATCTAAAAAATACAACTAATTCTATTGCATCTTTGTGGACACATCACACAATCACGCATGACGCATTTGGCATTATTCTGGCAACATCACAGCAGGGGGAAGACCAACGACGATGGCACCATGGAGAACTGCTCTTCCATCTTCGTAACAAACCTAATAACCACAAAGCTTTCTATCTGTTTATGTTTTCTGACCAGGTATAAACTATTCTTTTCCTCTTCCAACTTTCTGTTTGAGCGGAAAAACAATCTGTGATCCTACAAACATTAAAGTGATACCTTCACAGCTGAAATTTATGGAAAGCACATCAACTCATCTAATGATTTAAACAAAACTCTGTGAGCATTTTGCACCCCAAGCACTACAATACACACATTCTGAAGGTGGGAACTTCCTCACTCTGTCCTTATTGCCATGTTCTTGAGGTTACCTACATTCAAGTCCGGAGGTACAAGAGGTAATATATCAAGAATCATGAGTCGAATTGCATCATGTTTACACAGATGCATCACATCAACACAACTGCATCATGTCTACCCACATGCATCAAGTCTAAAAAGCTGCATAACATATATCTACACAGATGCATCACGTCTATGCAAATGTATAAAGAAATAAATGCATTACATTATGAAGAGCTATGAAACTCCATTATCATCAGGTGTCAAGTATTAACACCCAGCTGCTGACTCCTGTATCATGCTGTATCACACAGGTAACAGATCAGTATCAACAGATATTATCTACCTATAAAGTGAAGATTTTAACCACTCAGATGAGTCAGAACCAGGGCAGGTCCACATGATATTCAGTTATCCAGACATAGTTTACAGATGTCTGGATATATGAGGTCCAGTGTGTCAAGAATCTGTGAGTGCATCCCAGATGAGTGTCATTATGGCTTCTCATGAAACAAATAATCTTCTATTGTTACCATGGTTACCCAATATTTGTACCAAATAAATGTTTCGCAATCAAGAAAACTGCAGTTTGGGTCCTGGAATCCTAGACAACCTGTTCCACCCATTAGGTTAGGTCATACCTAAATATATACTGAGAGAAACAAATAAAGGATCACAGGAAAAGTCAAGCGTTCCTTTCATATTTTCCAGTTTTCATCACCAGAAAACGCTGTGGTGATGAAAACTGGAAAATAATAAAGGAAGCTTGAATTTTCCTGTGATCTTTTATTTGTTTCTCTCAGTATATTACAATTTACTGATTGATCATCATAAATTGTCTACTGACTTTAGCTCCATGACATTAAACACCTCTTGTGTGTAGGTGCTGCACCCTCAAAAGAGCAGATCAGAGACCCAAGCTAATGTTCAGTAAACTTCAGATTACTAGACATATAAATAATGGTTTAAGAACATTTGAACATGTTGTCAGAAGATAAAGTTAATGTTAACCATATCGCTTGTTGTTATTAGGCCACAATAAACTAATTATTACATTCCCAGCCTGCCTGCATCAGTACCAAGCACCCCGCCTCACATATTTCCGTTGTTCCCCAGTCCCCACAGATATAGACAGTACCCATATTTGTGTAACTTTCTCTCTTCAACTACACATTCCTACCAACTGTTCCTGTTTCCTTTCAAACACAACAGCTGACTAAGTGTCTTGAATATTAAAAGCAAAAAATAATACCCAAAATATAATCCTCCGTCTTTAACATTTTTTCCAAATCGGGATGTAAATATAGTAATTTATTTACTTTGGCCTTATACAAGTACACATGGACTTATAGTGAGTGACTGTCTTAAGTTTTACGCCGCTTTTAGCAATATTCCAGCAATATCGCAGCGAGGGACACCAGAAATGTGTTCACACATAGTACCCATGTGGGGAATCGAACCCAGGACTTCAGCGTGATGAGCAAACGCATTAACCACTTGGATACCCTCACATGGATTTATCTTTCCTGATACACATGTACTTGTATTCCTGTACAGTGCCACTGGTTTGTTGAACCATGAATTCCCGACACGGACAGCAGTGAGCAGAACATCTGTGTCTCATTGATACCCAACAAGAACTGCCATCCTAGAGAGCCACCATCATTGGATTAGTCCACAGCACAAGTAATAGTGCTGGGCTAGAGGACTATCATGAATTTCAAGTCCCGAACCTCTGGGTTTCCTGGATGCCACAGATACTGTCACTAGGTCAGCAGCACTGTACAGAGCTCCTGATAAGATTTAGCTCATGTGGGTACTGTACCCACTGTATTTTTTTTGGAGTGGGTATTATGAATGTTGAGTGGGTATTTCATTTTCCGTTACCCACTGCTTTCAAATATGTGCGTATTTCAGTCATTTTACTCACCTAAGTATTATGTCATTGAGTAAGTTTACTAAGCAGGTATGTTCTGCCTTATGTCATACCTAATCAAAACCAACTTAACTATAATGGAAATGATTTCATAAAAATCACTCATCCTATACTGACAGTACAACACTTGTCCTATACTAACAGTACAACTTGATAGCAATCGATGTCTTTTTCATAACGTAAGCGATTTTTATAAATATATTCCGTACGCATTTGTTTTAAACTTTTTGCGTATCTAACATTTTAAATGTGTAATTGGTACACAAGAATTATTTTTCAATGCTTCATTGGAAATTTTCTATGCTTATTTTACCCGGATAGGCAGCTTATCTGGGCCTCTGACTGTAAATATACTTACATGATGATGAACACGATACATGAATGTACAGTTCTTGGATCTGAGACATCACCTTGTATCAATGTTTGTTGCATATATATTTGTATACACTATGTAAACACATGTATGTATCTGTCGGGCCACCATGAAACCACAGAGCCATGAGTATTTGCAGTATGTACAATGTAGCCAGTTAACAAGCACTGGCCTGTCAGGCAATCCCTAAGATAAAACATAGGCATGATGGATATTTTAAACTAAACAGATTTCAATTATATATTAATCACATGATGAGAGAGACAATCTGCAGTTTGTATATCACTGATACTGTCCAAGACATAGCTTGTTCACTGTGTAGTTAATCTCAAGTATTCTCAACTACATTGTGCGTCCTCTGTAGAGTGCTCATGGTCAGCGACATTATTGGGAGGTTCTGACGGCTTATCAGATTTTTCTGCACCACTTTCTTCTTTGTTCTCTTCTATAGGACTCTTTTCTGTTGGAGGGACGTCTGGTACAGCGCTGTTCTCTTCTCCCTCCTTCCCCTCTGTAGGAGGGATGTTTGCATCGTCAGAGTCTGTATTCACACTGCCAGTTTCCACAAGTTCCTCTCTCTCCACAGGTTCATGTGACATCTCATCGATATCATCCTCCAAAAGGTCTTCATCGTCCTGTACGTTATACTCTGCCGTGTAATCATCTTCGAAGAATGCTCCCTCAGAATCATCACCTATGTCATCTGTAAAACAAGCATCACAAATAGACTTTTACTCAATGAATGCTTCCTCACAATCTTCAGCTAGGTCATCTGTAAAACATGCATCACAATCAGACTTTAGGATTATAAGACCAAATATAAAGACGTACATTGACTAGTATCTACATACTGGTGAGTGGACGTTAACCACGTGAATGTAGCAAGAACTTTATCGCGTAATATTGTCACTTCGACCCCCACCTCGCTTCCGTGGAAGTAATCGTTATGTTACAAGTTGTGTCATGCAAAATCCTTTTGGTCATTCAAATACATATGTAACTACGAGTAGAAAGTAGTTTTGATTTTCTAACTTGATGAAAACAAACCATGATCTCATTAAATCTAACAGAATTTAGCCTGTGACTTTACGATTTTCAAAAATGACAGCACACTGTTGCGAACATCCCCCAGTCTGAGGATAAATGCTATTTAGGTTTGTTTTCACCGAGTTACAAAATCAAAACTACTTTCTACTGGTAGTAAATTATGTATTTGATTGATGGCCAATAAGATTTTGCATGACTTAGCTCATAACATAACAATTTCTCTCGTGGAAGCGAGGTTGGTGTCAATATAATACTACTTACAATATTATTGTTACTTTCGACCACAACCTCGCTTCCGAGGAAGAAATCATTATGTTACAAGTTGTGTCATGGAAAATCTTTATGGTCGTCAATCATATACATAAATTAACAAGTTTTTTAAGAATGAATTTGGTGTTCCGCATAAGACTAACCACAAATTTTTCATATATATAATGGTTAAAAGAGTACCTATGTCTTCTGTAAAACATACATCACAATCAGACTTTTACTCAATGAATGCTCCCTCAAATCATCACCTACTGTCATATACCAGGTTTTATGTCTTCTGTAAAACATTTTAGCTAAAATTTATACACGAATAAACCTGTCATTCATTCAGTCAATGAATGCTCCCTACCATAACACATCACGTTTGAAGACAGAAATCAACGGGAATCTTGCATCACTGATCATACTTAACTGTCGCTGTAATGGATTTCCCAAAACATAATTAAATAAAGAGCCAAATCCCATTGCCGAATTAGCGAAAACAGCAATGTGTGTTGTGCCACCATCTGGTCACATGACATGGTTTGATACACAAACAGATTACCAATGAATCACTCGAAAGAAATAATACAGCAGTATTTTATTTATTCACCAGTACATCATGAAGCTTAATAGTCACTAACACTCAATCATCTCATTCACAACTACATGCATTTGAAATCACAAAGAGCTTCATATACAGTATAAGTTAATTCTCAAATCGTCAGAATTCGAACATAAGACTGATGTGTTTTTCATCTCTTCCGGGAGTAAACGGATTACTGTGTGTACTAGTATATCGCACAGATGATTTCCGGTGAGTATCGCTAATAAACGCGCCGCCTGACAGGTTAAGCCACTCTGTTTGTTTTCACTGCTATTAGTGGCGGCCAAAGAACAGGTGGCAGTTCGCATTACTGATTGCCAATAATTACTCAATGAAGTAGTCTAAACTGTCAATTCGAAAATTGCACCACGCGAAAATAGCTATGTCAGTATGTCTTCTGTAAAACATGCATCACAATCAGACTTTTACTCAATGAATGCTCCCTCAAATCATCACCTATGTCTTCTGTAAAACATGCATCACAATCAGACTTTTACTCAATGAATGCTCCCTCAAATCATCACCTATGTCTTCTGTAAAACATGCATCACAATCAGACTTTTACTCAATGAATGCTCCCTCAAATCATCACCTATGTCTTCTGTAAAACATGCATCACAATCAGACTTTTACTCAATGAATGCTCCTCAAATCATCACCTATGTCTTCTGTAAAACATGCATCACAATCAGACTTTTACTCAATGAATGCTCCCTCAAATCATCACCTATGTCTTCTGTAAAACATGCATCACAATCAGACTTTTACTCAATGAATGCTCCTCAAATCATCACCTATGTCTTCTGTAAAACATGCATCACAATCAGACTTTTACTCAATGAATGCTCCCTCAAATCATCACCTATGTCTTCTGTAAAACATGCATCACAATCAGACTTTTACTCAATGAATGCTCCCTCAAATCATCACCTATGTCTTCTGTAAAACATGCATCACAATCAGACTTTTACTCAATGAATGCTCCCTCAAATCATCACCTATGTCTTCTGTAAAACATGCATCACAATCAGACTTTACTCAATGAATGCTCCCTCAAATCATCACCTATGTCTTCTGTAAAACATGCATCACAATCAGACTTTTACTCAATGAATGCTCCCTCACATTCATGATTTTTTTCAATCAAACATATATTGTCCAATGTTATATCGCTGGTTGGTGAGTTTCAAACAAAAGATCACTTGTACAACTTCTAAATGTACAAAGTCTAAGTACCGGTACACTAAGTTTAATAAAAGAAGTTTGTTGATGGACAACACCCAGCCTCTGGATCCACAATTCAAACTGTGTCTGAATCCATGTTCCACTTAGAATACAAGGAATATAAAGACAGCTGTGTTGAACCTATATGGTGCTTGTCTTACCGTCTGCTGCTCGCTCCTTCGACGGAGTTGTTTCTGTGGAAGCCAGGAAGCTGTTAATGACCATCTGATCGTCATCTATCGTGATGTCACTCAAACTGCTCACCTTGGGCATCGGAATGTCAGACACCTTCAACTCTGGAGCAAAAGGATGTAATTTCAGTTGACTCGGTTTACTCAAGTTATAATATTCGACAACACGTAGTGACACCACCACCTCTCCACAGGACTGAGGTATCATGAGGCAATATTCAACAGTCTTTTAGTTTCTGATGCGACTGTACATCACTTAGCAAAGTCTTGAATCAATGTAATTCAACATCCAATGACTGCAAACGGCAAAACTTTACAAAGCTGGTACGTGTGCGACATTTTGTGGAGAAACAACAACTTTTATGTGTTAAGATTCACCTGGGGAAGTATTAACTGATGAAATACAAGTACTGTGTTGAGATAGGAATCGTAATGCATCCATGGTATCAGGATATGCATCGTATCACTACCCAACCTTATTGTTATGCCTACACCTCCATCTGTCTACGTCAAAACATTTCCTGAGTTAATATGATTTATGAATCTCTGATGTTTGTTTTATTTCAGCGATGAAAGAAAGGAAAGTGGTTCATGAAAGTTGTGTTGTTGTCAATCAAAATTTGAGTTTGAACACTTTTGTCTATCTTTAAAAGTCTGATACCATTCACGTATCAATCGATGTGTTGTACTGTCAGCATTGTGAGGGATACAGGAGAGTATCACTGTAATCGGTACACGACAACATGGAGGACATTGTGTTTCTCATACAACAAAGAAGGGAACTTCAGTGGCACCTGCCAATCTGTGACGTCTGACTTACGTTCTGTGTGGCCGTGTGTCTTGTAGAAGTCCATGTCTTCCGTGAAGGCCTCGCTGAAGGCTTCCTGTCTCTCCTTCAGGCTCGCTTGGCGCCGCCGATCACAATCCTGCATTGCCCTTGCATGACTCTTAGCCATTTGTACTGCAACAGTAAAATCATGTGACTCTCTACCATTCAATCTGCAGAAGGAAAATCATGTGACTCTCAACCATTTGAACTGCAGAAGTCAAGTATATTAGTTAATATTGGAAAACACTGTAACATTACATCAGCCTAGACACGCAGACCAAGCAGCCATAATCAGGAACAATGTGAGAAACATGATACATGTATCAGGATATGCACCACTTGGTTCCACCACATTTGTCTGTTTGTTTTGTCTCAAGGATTTCAGATGGTCCAACCATACTACACAGTGACACTTCAGACCTAATGTTTTTCGTTATGATATGGTGCAACTCAACCAGTATTGATTATAATATACTCAGTACTTACACAAAACTGGGTCTTTGCAAATCAATGATAAAATCAACTGATACATTTCCCGAAGAATCTGGAATTTAGTTATGTGTGAGTTTAGTTTCACGCCGCTTATTGCAATATTCCAGCAATATCATAGCGTGGGACGTGAAATTATGTATGCAGGAAGAGCATTTTGTAAAACCCTCTTATTTCATTTTACTCTTGCAGAAAACTTCACAAAAACACCTCACAGCAATGTTTTCAGCAATATCTCATAGCAAGAGCAATGTCTCACAGTAATATTTTCAGTAATATCTCACAGCAATATTTATCAGCTATGATAAGGCATGATCTGATCTCACACAGGCTCTAACAACCATAATTGTGATTAATGTTTCCAACTGACCTTTGACCTTCTCCACCTCTTCCATCTTTTTCTTTTTGTAAGTTGCAAGCTGAACCAGGTGAGCTTTCTTGTTCTTCTGATGCTCCAGTTCCTCAACAACATTCTCCAACCTCTCCAGGGCCCCCTCCACGACCTCACAGTCCCGCTTGATGTACCCTGGAGACAGTCAAACATGGCTCACTGTCATCCCATGATTATCCCTGATTATCAGTGTATAATATTCATAGAGAATCTCACCCGAGTGTCTTTTGATATCAAATATATCACCACGAGTTGATAAAGTTACAAATATCCGAGGGTTGCGAGGGTATTTTTACTTTTATCAACAAGTATTGATATACAGAAGACACGAGGGTGAGATTCTATTTATCATCAAAAATCACTCTTCATTAGTTTTCAATGAAAAATGTACATCTCTGAACACGGTTCTGCTATTAGACTTGCAGTGCAGCGATGTCATAGCATTGTGACATCATCAAGTTCATGACGTCATAGCATTGTCAGGGCACTGTACAAAATCTTCTGTCAAAATGATATTCCTAGGAGATATCGTTTGATTTCACACTAGAAATATTTCCTGTGGAACACAGTTTGGGATGACAAAGTTTTATATCATGGCAAAACGTGGGTTTTAGCATCATTTTCCGTAGATTTTAGGTATATTATGCGGTCTAAAGTAGCCTTCACATGGCAAACTATAGTTTGACAACACATGCTGTTAAAATTTTAAAAGCTATCAAACTCGGGTTTTCACACGTCAAACACATGCTGTCAAACTTTCGTGTCATTTGAAAGCCATGTCTCTATCGGTGTGGTCACGTGACAATTAAGTTGACTGCAATTAGTTGTTTCTGAATAACACGAGTTTGACAACACTTCACACGACAAACTTGAGTTTGACAACACCAAATGTTTGATGGAATAGCTGGTTTTCAAACTTTAGTTTGTCGTGTGAAGGCCACTTAATACAATCTGAGCTAACAAGACCAAGCACAATTATACTCCCGACTTTTCTTGTCAACTGGTGACTTGTCCAGGGTATTTATACTAGCATGTTAGGTAACACACTGGTCGACAGAGGATGGCTACAAGTTGGGTGGTTGTGACCTGCCTGAATGTGTCACATAACGCTCACACAGTGATGGTGGTAGATCATTTATCAACCTTAGGTCCACGTAGGAACATATTAGTTAATACAACCCTGTCAGTATTGCTGACTTTGCAATATAACACTGTTGTCTCAACACTCTTCAGTAAAGATGCTACACTTCAGCTTGAAGAGCAAATGACAACAAGCATGAGGAACTTGTATCCCGCCACTGGTAGGTTCCAGTTTTTGCCACAGCCAGTATTTTGGGCACTCACACAATTTGGGGGACACCTACCCAGATCCGTGGTCAGTTTCTTGACGAGTGTGACAACATCCGGCAGTTCAGCGACCTCCTCTTCCATCTGACTGACCATGTCCACCTGTTTGTTCCAATTGCTGTACAGCTGACCGATCTCGCTGTCCACCTCCTGCATCATGGTCAGATGAGCATGTCACAGCAATAATTCATAACACAACACTCAACAAAGTTTGGTGGTTTCATATCAAGACTCATTTGGCTGTAGCTGAATATGTTTTCCAGAAAGGCATAATGGTGCCCCTTTGGTAGCAAAATTTCGATTATCTTCTCATTTATTCAGCAATTACTCTCATTTTTCACTCATTATTTTTAATATTGGTATAAATATATTCATTTATCAAATTTCTAGTTTTTCACCAATTCCCAATAATTTTCTCTTATTTCAACATATACCATTATATAATATTGTTGTCAAAAAATAAAACAACCCAGAACAAATAATAAGGTTATGCTACCAAAGTCGCGCCATTAGGCTTTCACACATGTCTACAAGTCACATAAAATAACAGTTTATTCTTAAACATGAACTGACTGGGCGTGTTAAATACTCACCTCGGCTTTCTTGGCTGTACGAGAGGTGTACGTCTGAAGCTCCTTCCATGTCCTCTGATATCTGCAACATCAGGGTCACAAGTCAAACACATCAACTGTGAAACTGTCCATCTTTATGTAATAAAGCATGATAGACAAGCATGTGCACACTTCTGCAGAGATTTAGTCATACCTGCTCTGAGGTCAATACTGATAGAAATAAAACTAATTGTTGATGGTGCCAGTGCCATGAAGGGTAAAGAAGGTGTCGAGCACCCCGCCATGTACCATGTGTAAGTGTACCACATATCACATACGATATACTGTGTACTACATGTATCAATGTACCATCTATTACTGTAACATGTACTAGTGTACCACATATTGGTGTACCATGTACTGGTGATACATGTATCACTGTACCATGTACCACTAGAGTACCAGTGAACCATGTATGAGAATGCCATGTGTCAATGTACCATGTTTCTTTAGACATTTCTTGTTAATGTCCTACTCTGCAAATAATCAAATCTTGACCATACAATCCAGTGACTGACCAATTCAGCAAGCCTGACTACCACACATGGTTCATCTCTTACGACGAGCATGAATTGCTAAAACCTTTAGGCCAGTTTAGCAGTAAAGGCCTGTTCTAATTGTGCTCATCACACTAATATCCCAGGGTACCGTGTACCAGTATACAATGTACCATGGGTCAGTGCATGTGATTTATCAGCAAAACATTCATGCATGACAGTTAGCTTCTTAAACTCATACATAAGCAGCAATAGACATAATAAACTTACTTGTTGAGCAAATCTGCCCCTGCATCGAGACTGACTCCATCTGATCGCAATCGCTTGAGGATATCCTGTCGAGGCTGAGCATCCAGTGACGTCAGTGCCTTCAGACTTAAGTAGGCAGAGAGTAGAACAGTGTTGAACATTATCAAACATTTACCAGGGGTTCAATTTTTTTTAAAAGCCACTTGCCACAGGGCTTTAAGAAGTAACTTGTCCTGACTAATTTTCCACTTGCCCTGATTTTATGACATAATTATGAAAGAAGAAATCAACATGGTATTTGATGTTAATGTTTACTGGACTATTTATTGAAAAGTGATAAATAGCAAAGAAAGATAACTCTACTTCATTATCATTGCGAAATGTAATAGCTACATTTTGAGCAGATTTGAAATTAAATCCAAGTTTATTTGCAGTTTGAAACCATTAGTGGAAATTATCTAGTAGCCCATGGACAAGTAAGATACCATTATTTGATTGCCCGAAATGAAAACTGACTTGTCCTGGGCGTCGGGATTTTTTAACCTCTGCATTTACGTATGAAAGTCAAGAAATCTAGTGGGAACCTGGTGTTAATCATGCATGCACAAACCCCTTTCCCACCATGGTCTCATCTTCTTAGTCAGATACCCTTTCGTTCTCCTACTTGTTACCATGGTTACCAAAGTGGTAAAATGGATTAGTCCATTGTCAGATTCCAAATGAGAATACAAGACATATAATAAATACACAATTATCACTTTTGTGTTTTGACACTATCAACAGGATATATGAAACAATAAAAATAGTTTTTATGATTGTGACAATTGATGCTGATTGCTTATGTTTTGTATAAATTAATATTGTGCCAAACTGTGCAGCTAAGTATTGTTTTCGTAAATGTTGATTAACATACACGACATTAATAGTGCCAACAAATATTTGTGGTGAACATACTGAAAGCATGTGTCAATATTGCTACTTTTGGTAGAATCACTCAATCTTGTTCTCACAATGCAGGTGGTGTTGAAAAATCACCTGTGTTCATACTTATAACAAAGAAACAAAGTAAACTTTCAGAAAACCTGCCATGTTTGTTACAAATTCACATGTCTGACAATACATGTATGTCCATAAGATTTGCCTTGTAACATATGTACAGTTTAACAAATGCCTGTAAATAGAGAAAATGCTGTATTCAGATAGGACACTGATTTGTGAACATGACCAAATGTTTGTTTTCATGACCAAATAGTTCACAAGCCAATAATAAGGACAACATGACAAGTATTCCCAACTATGACATCACACCTTCACATTGTTCAGTTCTCAAAGCACAACAATAGCTTCCTTAAGTGGCATTTAGAAGCTGGTATGATGAAGTGGAACACTTTTATGGATAGACAACTTCTTTGTTGCAGTAGTAGTTATGACGTTTCGGTGTAGATCCTAACACTGTTATCAAGCAAATGACTTTCCCTTCAAGCATATCAAGCATCATTTGCTTGATAACGGTGTTAGGATCTACACCGAAATGTCGCAACTACTACTGCAACTAAGAAGTTGTCTATCCATAAAAGTGTTCCACTTCACAACAATAGAGCTCAGCAGGGCGAAGAACTGCACAGAGTAAACTAGCTTCAGTCATATTTTTAACTGGATGTAAATTGAAGGGGAAGTCTGTATGATTTACTTATGAATGAAGTATGGATGGACATCCTAATTGCCAGCATGACTGGATTAGAAGTGAGTGTTTTAAAAAGCGTAGATTACAACATAAACAGACCTCGTCTGCTGCCAATCATTCTTCTACACAGACTTCTTTGTGTATGATCTTGTTATGCATCTGACTGTCGCTGTACAAGAAGTCTGTCAATATTGTTATGCAAAACAATTTGTTAAACACACAGAAAGGCTTGCATTAGGTCCATCTGTTTCATTTCAGAATTATTGTGTTGGTTTCATCCAGTGACACGGAATGCCTACACCAAGGATAATGGAGTGACCTCAAGGGTCATCCGCTATTGATTACAAACAGTGCTTCAGAACGGTTGATGTACTGTCCCTTGTACAGAGGATAAGATCTACGAATGACAACTGACAGAATCTGACAGCGTGATCAATACTGCAACAGGCACATGTCAGATGTTTTGACAAGCTATATATCGCTACTCAACTGACAACTGAAAATGGGGTATGACCCCAAATCCCTAGCACTACATGTAATAATTATTGTCATATTTCATAAATCAACTTCACTTTGTGTACATACAGATAGTTTTGCACCTTGGTAATCTGCACTTGTACGTTTAAAGCCATATAGAGATAGCACTCTGAACACTAGTTTCATGTTCCTTTCATGGTATTGACAGCTGGTGTTAGTGAGGCTAAGACGACCCGATTCACATAGAGTTAGTTCCATGAGCAAATATTGCAAATGTAAATGTATCATGCAAAGATCTTCCAACTAGAAACTGTACCAATGGAATAATTTCCCTTGAGAAATATGGGTGTCTGCAATGGTGCCCACGGGAATAATTACACTACAGAAACTGCTACTCTACGACACACGCAATGCAGTAGGAAATAATACTGTATTGATTATTTGCAAGTAAATGAGTACATAAAAGTATGTTTCGATGTTATCTCTTAACCCAAGATACGATACCCAAGATCAGAAGACAATAGCACCTAATGTGTCTTCGTCAACGTCTTCATCAACCATGTTTACTAAGTGAACTACATCAGTACACGACAGAAACTTTACCCGTCAAATATATCCTGCTGTACACTGTGGAAAGTACCCTTGATACTCTCTAACACACTCATCGTTATGCCGGGAGATCATTCAAATCATCCAGAGGTGTGCACCCTTCCCTGCTCTTCTCACAATTCTGTATCACACGGGCGGAACACTGTTTATCGTTCACTGGAAGTCGCCATACTTGACAAGTCACATGATAACAACGTGACCCGTTCTGCCACACTTCCGGATTTCACTGGGCTCCGTCTAGCAGTCACATTTAGACGCTGCGCAAATATGAACGGGAAAAGAGCCACATTAGAATTATGTTTGTTGTGATAAGATGGAAGTAAATTTTAATTGACAAAAGAGTCACATGAAACCTTCAGACAAGGATTGTAGGAACATGGGTCGCTTTATGTCTCTTCAGCAGATTAAATGATTACATGTGAGATATATTCTGGATCAAACTAATCTATGGCACCAAATGTTGTTTAATATATCGTGTCCAGCAACATCATTGTTTGAAATGTGAGTTTCTGACTCTGAAGATTTTGGAGGAAACTAACCCCCATTTCACAAAGTATGCACGGTGTTCAAAAGCACGGAACATATGGGCTGAAAATTTTCAGTTAAATACAGGAATTGTGACACTCGCATAATTCAGATCATGCATGGCTAGTTATACGAGGGATAATCTACAACAACGATGATCATATCTCTAGTCTCGATCCCTGGTTATACATATCAGCATAGGCGGATCCAGAGGGGGGATGTTTGCAGGATGCGCACGCCACCCCACCCCACTTCGTCCTGAAAATATTAAAATTGACCATTGAAAACGGGTGAAAATGAAGTGTGCAAACCCCCACCCCACCCCCACCCCTTTCTCAAGAGTGTGCAAAAGAGGGGTGGGGGGTTGGAGGAGGCGTAACACCCGATCCGCCAATGCCTCAGGTGGTCAGGCTCGGTGTTTTGTCACCCTACCTAGATGGCGAGGATCACTACTACCAGTCACCGGATTGTCTGATCCAGAGTCGATTCAATGACATGGCGCTTTCATCATAACCAACTGAATTTAGTCTTCGTTCAAGACCTTATTCTTCACTTCTTCCAAAGGTTGCATAGGAACAGTGCTAATTTCCGATTATAGTTACTCTGTCGTGTTCATTTCTAGATCAATATATTTAAATTATTTTTAAATAGTGCCTGTAAAATGATATTGTTTATCAGAGAGGATAATTATTACAATTAGGTGTGAAATATACTTGAAAATGCAGTTATTTTTTTCAGGGGGAAATTTATTGCGCAACAAAAAGATAAATCATAAGGGAAACCTTTATAGGTGATAGTGTAAATTAATGGAAGTGAATACAATACAAACATGTCCTCAAAACATGCTTAGTGATCCAAACAGGTTACCGTATTTAACAAAACAAGACATGTTTCCTCATACTTTTATTCAGATCACTACAGATTTTATTTCTATAATTAGCACAATATTTTATATATAATATTATCACATAATAATAATAAATCTTAATCCGTAAAACATAACAATAACGATAATGGTTTAGTTTGTTGCCATGTGTACAAACAGATAAAATGGCGTAAGACCACAAAACATCATTTAAAAACATTCTTTTTTACACCCCTACTGTAGATGAAGGAGGTCGCCCACATGGTCCGTATATTCCATGTCACTCAGGTGTTGGTTCAGAAGCTTGGTCTTCAGTGATGCAATACGAGCGTCAATGGTTATATGTATTGATGCAAATACTGCTTGAATATTGCTACGTTTTGGCGATTGATATTGCAGTGTGTAAACAGAAAATGGAAAAATGTTACTTCGCAAGCAAAAATGTTAACAAAGATCATTTTAGGTGTTCCTAAACACTTTTTCACAATATCAAAGACACGTTTTACTTGTTTTCACTAATGCAAATCAGCAGAAAATGTTTTAAAAGACTGAAATCATAGAAATGATTCTTTTACAATTGTACACACTCTACAACAGTTGTTTTTTGTTTTAATAATTGAAATATGGTGACTTTAATTTTTTTTATCTCTGTTTCAAAGCAGAATTTTATTTCAACCTTTCTTGTGGACATCTAAATCACTGTTATTGGTTTATTTCGGCATGGTCGAAAATTGGACAATTTAACGCTTCTGAAAAAGATGCATTTCACATAAAAATGAATGCGTTGGAGAATTTGGTTCGTGATTTTCATAAAGCTGTGTTGTTAAGCTCTCTTGTAAGCTAATGCCTTCTAACATATCTTTGATAGTTTTAAGTAATTCATAAAGGTAGGAGGGTAACGTTTCTTTTGGCGTTTAGTGTAGGAACAGTCTTTTACCGGTACTGCTAAACACCACGCTTGTGAGTAGGAACGATTATTCGTTTCTAGTGAATATATTATTATACATGGGACACTGTTTTACCGGTTACGGTAATCCATTAATTAATCTATTGGAAATGTGGCTTTACCGGCTACAGCCATGTAATTGAAACGTGGCCTTCCCGGCGATAGTCATTTTTGAAATGTGATGACTTACTGTGATGTAGATATTTTACAGGCGCTTCTTTAAACATATAGCTTTTATTAACGCCCTTTGACCAGCTCCAGAAATATGAAACCCGGTGAATCAATCGCAGATATTATATTTCTTTACCAGCTGAACACAGCCAATATAATCGGATTATATGAAACGTTTAATTGATGCATGTAACGTACATATATATGGGCACATATGATCATCTCTATATTTCTCTTGGTTCTGTATTACTTGCTAGTAATAACGATCAGAAGAACGCAGGGTGATCAGTACATGTTTAAATAGTCAAATCATGCAGATATACTCCGATATGACCATATTTACATACTTTGCGTATGGATAAATGTTATAAAATGGTGTAATAACTACAATCCAAATGAGGCCCCGTGATCACAGGCATACCGATCTCCTGTATACTGATTAACATTGTGCTTAATAAAACGGGGCAAAATGATATATATACTCTCCCAAAAAAGAAACGCATATAGGAATTTCAACTGTATTTTTATGTATATTTTGAAACATCTTGTAGGCTTTATGAGTCAATGAAATATAGCGAAATTGCACACTGGGAATGCAGACTTATCTGTCTCTGGCACCAACTCGAGGAAAGTCAGTTTGAGTGTCACATGGAGACGTGTGGTGGCGCTGGAGTCAATACCTCGTGTGACCACCGTGGGCATCCAGAACTGCACGGCATCGCCTCGGCATCGAACGAATACGTCTCAGGATCTCGTGTTGCCCAATCGCAGCCCACTCTGCCTGTAGTGCCTGCGCGAGTTGCTGAAGTGTCTGGGGCTGAGGGTTACGGCGTCGCACCCGTCTGTCCAGGGCATCCCACAGATGTTCGATCGGGTTTAAGTCCTGTGATCTTGAGGGCCAGGGGAGCACATTGATGTTGTGGTTCTGGAGGAAGTCTCTAGTGTGACGTGCTGTGTGGGTTCTGGCATTGTCCTGTTAAAACAACTCCCTCTGGCGATCAATAATTGGAAGGAGGTGTGGGCGTAGGATTTCGTCACAGTACCGTTGAGCTGTCAGGTTGCCCTGGATCATCACCAAAACACTTCTCCTACAGCAGGTGATCGCTCCCCACATCATAACACTGCCCCGGCAGAATCTGTCCACCTGGGAAACGCAAGCGTCGGCGGAACGTTCACGTCGACGTCTGTACACCCGCATTCTTCCATCGCGTCGTTCCAATAGAAATCGTGATTCATTACTGAACCAGATTCTACGCCAATTCGGTAGGTTGCAGGCCTGAACGTTGGTGCACCATTGAACTTGATGTCGACGATGTTGTTGTCGAAGCGCACGGCCAAAATAAGGTCTTCTGGCACGTAAACCAGCCTCTCTCAACCTGTTCTTGACGGTCTGTGCAGAAAGCCTCCTCAATCCGGGTATTTGTAGAGCGGTACTGGTCGCCGTAGCTGTTCGATGACGCAGGTGATGTACCCGGATGTAGCGATCCTCGCCACAGTGGTCGCTCGAGGTCGCTCACTACGAGGGGCATCTGCTACCGAATTCTGCCGGCGATATCTCTCCCAGAGCCGTGAAATGGTGCTTTGGTGAAATTCATGCGTCGGGCAACTGCACGTTGAGACTGGCCAGCTTCAAGCAAACCAATGGCGATATAACGGTTGGCTTCACTTAGACGTGGCATTTTGCGTTCGTCAACAATATTCCAAATACAGTGAATAATCGACAGACAGCGATCAACCTTTTATACCCATCATTGAGAATATCTGATCCCCAACTTTCACGTGCTTTGCATGTGAATTGTGTATTCTGTGACACATCATGCTGTTAAATACGGGTATTTTACGGATGGTGCGTTTTGTTGTGATGTTTCAAAATATTAACACCATAGGACTCCTTTTGTAAAATGAATCACGTTTTAATTCATTGCTACATGAAATTGCTATTTTCACGATGCGTTTCTTTTTGGGGAGAGTATATTATTTCCAGATCTGTATTGTTTTCCGTGTTGACAGGCTCAGGTATTCCGCATCAAGTTTTCACAAATCCATAAACGGCCAATTTCATTAATGATAATCATCACTTTGACCTCTTAACCCCCGGCTTGTTGGATGGATTTCGCTGGGATATCTGCACCGCTGTAACGATTTCACAAAGGAATCTTTTAATATGACCACAACAGTCATTAGATTTGGCAAAATATGATCTTTCACATTTTGAAGATCGGTGCTCAGTGCTGGCTGACATTTTATGGAATGTGTTGCTATGTTACGCCAATTTCACCAATACAGACACTATGTCCAAGACAATATTTCCTTCCTGCAGTCACACTGTAGAAATGTCAACGTTTCGGCAACGGAGCAAAACACCAGGAAGCACCTAACACGCAATCACAGACACTAATACATTTCTCAGTATCAGACAATTGCAAGGTTAACTCCTACATTGATTGCCTCACAGTCTCTGAACACAATCCGGGTGTTTCATCTTTCTGTATACGTGTCTGAGGAAACACCGGAGGAAACATTCCAGGAATCACTTCCTTTCCTCCCATCCCCCGCCTGTAACTGGGGCACCGTACAGAACTGGTTCATGTTGGAGGAAGGTCCCACATTGTAAGGAACAAGTGCCATTTATAGCGTCAGTTCATCGTAAAGAAGCCTACTTTC